CATTGTATCGTCAATTTAAGAATTTGGGGTTTTTGTTTCGTCTGCTCTTTTGTCATTTTTTCCTTTGCACGCCACAAATGACAAAAGTCATATGACATCTGTTTTTCTCCTATTTGACCAACATAATGCCCTCAAGGCACATCCATGTGGCAAATGGCAAGATATTATCTTTATTTTAATAGCTGAGTAGATGTGATTTTGCTTCATCTCCCACCAAGTGATTATAAATTGGCTGGAGGCTTCACAAACATAATTGCACAGCTCAGACTTCAGTAGCTAAATCAGTCTGGACCCCTGACTTCAGTAAACACAAGGCTCCATTCACATTGAAGGGCAGTAAAGAGGTTACCCTGGCCCAGCCTTATTTTGTTTCGAATTGCTGCGGAAAAACAAGACCATAATCTTCCTAAAACATTATACTATACTCTGCACAGGTGAATAGGTTACTAAGATATTTCCCAAGGACACCAAACAGAAACAAAAGATTTAAAGGACTGAGTTAAAAGATTCATGATACCCATTTCTGGGGTTCTAGAGATACAAAAAAGCTTACCTATGATTTCATTTAAATCAAGAATAACAAAGATAATTTTATGTTGCTTTCTGAATACTTTTTTTTTTTAATGAATTAACACTATCAACCAAAGGACAACAGGGAAAGCAAAGCAGCCTGAAAACAAACGAGTGGCTTCCCATCAAGTCCATCTACCAAGTTTGAAATAAAAAGATTACAAACAAGATTGCCAGCAGGAAGCAGATCTACCATCTTGAAGAACTGAAAGTTCAGGGGCTAGGAGGCATGTCTTGGCCTACTAATGGAAATGCAGAAACACATTTGAAATCCAACAGTGTAACTTTAATATGCAATAAAGCATGGTGGCCGAAATCAGCTTTGGGTTCTATATCAGAGAAAAGACATATCTCTGGCATTTATATATTTTTTCACATTAAAAATAAAAGTCCGACCCAGCAATCCCACTCCTAGGTATCTACCCAAAAGACACAAAAACACTGATTGAAAAAGATACTTGTACCCCATGTTTATTGCTGCTTTATTTACAATTGGAAAAACATGGAAGCAGCCCAAATGCCCAAAAGTAGATGACTGGAT